TGTATAATGGAAGTACCTTTGCAGGAGATTGATTGAAATATAGTCCATGCATCTGCTCCTTCTTAAACATGAAGCCAGTAGGAGGCTTCTCTTTACCGTTTCCATAAATTAAAAACTTAGACTCCTGCATGAAAAGCTCTGCAGACCCAAGCTGCAAAGTAAACACATCATGATGGAGGATAGATATATAACGATAATTGACACTATAATAGTAATAGCATTTTAGAATTATTCTGGGGAGTGAATGATTCCTCTTTTGAGATATTCAATTGATCGGTTGTAATGAACGAGGCTTACGAACCAACCAGTGGTTTAATGATACATATACTGTCCTCTTTGACCTCATCAATTTTGCATGATGCATATTAAGACATGGATGAACTGAGATTTTCATTCAGTGTTCAAACTCATTCGTTCCTATTCCACTTTGCAAAAGATTTAAATTCCAACTTTCAACACATTATAATAGATCGCTGAAGAACATGAACAGGTCAGTATGAGGCTGGATTGTGACGTGAACAGTTTAAATGCTGAGAATTCTGATCAAAAGCTTACACCACTCATGTTACCATTTTCAGTTGTTTTGCTTTTTCTTCCCATGTTCCGGGGTTTATTCTCTTGTAGAGGCCTCTATATATTTGTGTGTTTATACGTCATCAAGATAAGATGATCTATCAAAAGTACAATCAATGTCTGTCTCATTAAAACAAGGACAAAATTTTAGGAAAGGGAAATAACTTTTGTAAAAGCTTGAACAGGCTTTCAGCCAAGAAAACTTGGTAAGGCTCAAGGTAGAGAAGAAGCACCACAGCAACTTGTCGCCAAAAAGAAAAGAATCAATTTTTTATTACATTGGCTCTCTGATATTATTAGCTCTACTTCAACAACAAATAAAAAGTCCCAATGTTGTATGGAGCTGACTACTCATACAAAGAATTTGCTTAAAATGAAGTGTTCTGGAGCCGGTGCTAATGTGTAACATATTTAAGAAAAACTAAAATGTTTTAAAAGGGGATCAGTGAACTCTTAATCCCTCCCCCCCCTCCTTTACGCACACACAAAAAAAAAAGATCTAGTATACCAACTCTATGAAATCTCAACCAAAATGAAATGGTGCTTTCAGGAACCATGACTGCAAACTCGGGACCAATCTCATGGTGTGGTATCTGTATCTTTTTCCACATACACAACTGGAGCAATTTTTATTCTGCTCAAAGTACTTCTAGACGACTACATCTAAAAAAAATCTTTTAAAAAAGCTATGATTTGCAATAAAACAAAATCGTTCAACAGGTTAGCAAATCAGGAACAAGTTGCCAACAATCGTTTTTCTAGTATTTTTTACGTTTTTGGTCGTACGGGATATGTACCTCTTCGGAAAACACATCAAAAGGCCTCTGTCCATCAGATATCATTGTAGCACATATAAATACTGCTTTGGCAATTTTCTGTGGGTAAAGCTCCAAAGCATAGGAAACACAAGCACCTCCAACACTGTGACCTACCAAAATTACCTAAAGGAGGACACAAATCATTTTTAGGTAAACATACAAAGTTAATCTTTCATAGTAAAAAATCAAAAAGAATTCTGCTCATACCTTTTCATCCTCCGGCAAGTTCTCCAGATAATCAATCAATGGTTTGGAGTATTCCGCCAGTGTTGTAACATTTTTTGTATCTGTTAGCTCGATCCCAGATCCAGTGAGATCTATGGCCGTGGGCAGCAATCCAGTTTCCTCCAATAGAGCAATATTTTTGTACCAACACCAAGCTCCAAATCCTTCTCCGTGTACCAAAACGAACTTCTTTGTCTTGATGCTCTCCAAAAATTCTGGTAACTTTACAGCATAAATATTTGTAAGGCAACTAATAGCGACACATGATATTTTACAAATAAATAAAAAGGAGTGACACGGGAACATTGTCTGGAGTTTTTCTAAAAGATGTTGAAGGTTCTTGTATCATCAATCTGATGAAAGTGTAGTCCCGCCACTTCCTCATCAATTTACATGAAATTCTAAACGTGTACTGTTTTTTCATTACCTCTGGTTAAGCACAATAAACACATTATGCAGTGCCAAGATTTCCCATTTTCCACAACCAATTAGCCTTCAGCTACAGCAAAACTATTTCTACTTTAAATAAACAAATTGAGTATTCTATTTTTTATCAAGTCAAGTTTTGATTGCTGAACACCAAGCAGTATCAAAAGTATGTACAAGTTGTTTTTGTGTCTAAAAGATATACATATTCAGTATTTTCTTTTTATCTTTTCACAACAACTGCTGTGTAAAAGCCCATAAAAAGTTGTCTCGACTAGAGCTAATTTATATTCTTCCTGTAAGTTGTTTTTATTACATCACATAATTTAGGTCAGCGAAAATAGAGAACGCGGAACAATAATCTAAGAATTAACAAATAAAAGAGGAACCTTGTACAGGATAGGATAGCAACTATATCAAGGTATAAACTAGAAATCGATGAGTGAGCTACTCTGGAACAGTCCAACCTAGATATCCTGAATGGCATATAATATATAAGCTCTGCACTGAAATCTGAAGTAATTTTGTTACTGTTTAACCATTGCAGTAGATTAATGACAAAGCAAGGTGCAATTATATATAAAGGTGAATCGCTGCTACTCACATAATCTGCACCGGGTATACTGATGGTGCTACTATTTCTTGTGACAAAGCAAGAATAAAGGGACATTGCTTTTGCTTTTGGTTCCTCATATCAAACATACACAAAGAAAAACTACTGTATAACAATAACAACCCAGGTTTGAGGAAGTAGAGTGTACACGGACCTTGGTCCTACCCCGGAGAGCAGAGAGGCGGTTTCGTAAAATAATATAATATAATATAATATAATATGTAATAAAAAGAAAAAGAAAAGAAAAGTAAAAAGAAACTGTTCAAACATTTTTCAGGCCCCGGGAATATTCACCTAACACTAGTTATATGAGACAACCTTTTTGTCTCACCGTTTTGTGGACCTAGAAGTATAAGATTGAGATCCACAAATTTGTGAGACAAAAAGGAGTCTCATACAACTAGTGTCAGTTGTACGGGACACAAAATAAAACTTCTCAGCAAATACTTAATTAAGAATCTTAGAGACATGACTCTTACCAAAAAACAAGAAAAAAAAAACAAAGAAAAACGTGGGTTTTCAGAATTTGTTTTGTTCTTTCTTTTCAACTCCACCTTTCTAAAGAAGATTTCAAAAAAGGGAAAAAGGTGAAAGGGGATAAAGTTTTTAACTTTTGCAACAAAAAGTACCTTTCTCTTCTTTGCCTTTTTTAGTTTACACTTCCCCACACTATGAAAAAGAGAATCAATCATTTCTACCACCAATTCCACAAAATAAAAAGAGAAAAACTCAGTGTTCCACACCTCTAGCCCATCAAACCCATCACACCAAAAAATGAAATAGACCAACATTATAAATTGGGAGGGGTAAAAATAAAAAATAATAAAAAATAATAATAATAAAAAATAGACCAACATTATCAAGAAGCTAAAAAGAGAAACATCATTTGTACCATCAATTCCACTAAATAACAACAGCAACAGATAATACATTGTAATCCCACAAATAGGGTTGTGACCTTACTCATATCTTATAAAGGTAAAAGAGGTTATTTCCGATAAACCTTCAGCTCAAAGCACAATTCCAATAAATACAAAAAGAAAAAAGAAAAAGCATATAAAAGCAAACTTTTCCACCTCTACCCCATCGAACTCATCATAGCAGAACTAAAATAGACCCAATAAATAAAATAAAAAAAGTTTCCACCCAGATCCCTCTCAGACCCAGTCTTACAATACATCCATAGATCTCAACAACTGATTCGAAACTAAACAAACATAAAATAACCAAAACAAGTCCACCAAAGACTATGACTTAAACAGATATCTCGGGTCGGAGTCCCACGTACCATTGAGGGACTTTCAGCAGATTAGTCGGGGTCTGAAGTGATATATGAAACAGTCTCTCTACCTTTATTAAGTAGAGAAAAGGTCGCATACACACTATACTACCTCACTCCACTTATGAAATTATATTGGATTTGTTGTTGTTATAGTCGAGCTCTAAAGCCGGTACTAAAAAAGAACATAAAAGCAAAAGCAACTGTATAAAAGAAAAAAAGCTTGAGAAATGATATACCTGCTGCGTAGAATTGGGTGCGGGATCAGAAGAATCAGTGCGACGGCGAGAACTAGTGGATCCAATACGTCTAGACATTGACCCCTCAAATCTTTGAGACAATTGATGCTGCTGAATCGCCATTGCCAAAGCTTGTCTATGCAATAACTCTTCTTCTACTAATGATCTCCTCTTTGATCTCTCCATTCTTTTACTCCTTGACCCTACTCCATTCCTTTCATTTTCCTTTTTCGCCATGCAAATAAATCGATTTCCCATATCTTTTCAAAATTCAATTTTTCCTCAAAACCCAGAAAATGTTTTACTTAAAATTCGTGAAATTGGTCTCAAAGTTGAATTTTGTGCACAACCCAGATACTAGTTTGCTTTACTCAACTGCAAAATGGAATTTTGTGCAAAACCCAGATTACTGTTTCGCTAAAAAATATGTGAAATTGGTTTGACAACTGAATTTTGAGCACAACCCAGATACTATTTTGCTTTAAAGTTCAAGAATATGTGAATTTTGATAGCAAAATGGAATTTTATGCAAAACCCAGATACTGTTTTGCTTTAAAAAAATATGTGAAAGTGATCTGACAACTGAATTTTGAGCAGAACCCAGATACTATTTTGCTTTGAAGTTCAAGAATATGTGAATTTTCATAGCAAAAGGAAGCTTTGTGCAAAACCCAGATACTGTTTTATCCTCAGATACGTGAATTCTGACTGCAAAATTGAGAAATTATTTTGACAAAAATTCACTGGAATTGGACTATAAAATGGGAGTAGCAGAGTGCTGGAAAACTGGAAGAACGACGGCGTTTTAGAGGAGTAGGTGGTGGTGGTGGATTTTTAATTGATCATGGATTTGATTGTGAAAGGAAATTCTGGAACCTTTTTAACTTCAACTGCATATCCAAGCAATTTAATGCTGTTTTCTCTTCTTTCTTTCTTTTTCTTTTTCTTTATAATTATAATTATAATGTTTAAAATTGAAAATTCTCACTCTCCCTCTATTAGTTTCCCCTATAGTATGACTTTTTTGCTGAAATGTTTGACTGAAAGTTGGAATCTGTATATTCGTTAGACTTTAGGGGGTCTTTTTTTCTTATTTGGGCAGTTGTCATTTTTGTCTCTAATGGAGAAAAGTTAATTTTAGCTAGCGTTTTATATTCCCAAATTTATTTTTAAAAATTTGATTTGGGTGAAATTTAATTTGAAGATGAAAATATATTTGAACATTAGTTTTCAAAATTTATTTCTCAACTTTATTTTAAAAAAATATGTGTATTATTAATGTTTCTGAATATTTTGGCCCAAAATCAACTATCGAGCTGGTTTTGAGATTTGAAATTTTATTAAAATATAGGTAAAATCTATGGTCAAATATGTATTTGTCAAATATAATCCAAATTTATTTTGATAAAATTTATGACCAAACGGTCCTTAAAGAGATTTCCTCAATGACACGTATAGCATGTCTAGTCAAGTTTCTTTAAGGTCAAATATTACTTTTTAAAGTTGAAATGTTTGTCAAGTTTTCCTAGAAGAAAAAGTATTTTATAGTAGAAACAAATATTATTTTTGAGAAACTGAAAAGAATAATTTCTCCGTATAAGTATTTTTTTGAAAAGCACTTTTAAAATAATTCACTTATAAAAGTTCTTTTTAAAATTTTGATCAAATACTCGTTACTTTTCGAAATATTTTAAAGGCATGTTATTAAGGAAAAATAAAAAAAATTAGAGTAAATTATTGTTAAATATAAAACAAGATATTTTCTTTAAATAAACTAATAAGCAAATAATAGCACCAAATTGGACGGAATAGTAATTACAAACACCGAACATGATGATACTTATAAATTTAAGATTTGTGTTTGGGCTATATGTTAATTAATGTTGGGATATGGTTACATTATAATAATGAAGAATTAATGAGGAGATTAAGGGTGAGATTGTCTTGTTCTAATTATTTTTTGCTTTTGTTTGCCAAAAGGTGAGATTCTCTATTTATTAGACTATAATTCTAAAGATGGACGGTGTGAGGATCAGTGTATCTTATTATTGTGAATTCTCAGATATACATAAAATACTAATTCCATCATCTTAATTTGTTTGACACTACTAGACTTGACATAGAGTTAAGAAGGAAATGAGGATCTTTTGACACATAAATTCATATGTACACTGTTCGTTTTAATTTACGTAGTTTAACATGGAGTTTAAAAAATTAAAATTTTTAAAATTTATGGTCTTAAATTAATTTGTTGTTATTATTGTTGTTAAAGGCGAAATTTTGAAGGTAGTAAGGAGATTCTAAAAATATAAAGGTGTCCATTCTTTTAAGACGGACAAAAAATAAAATGATGAGAAACAAATTAGGACAGAGTGAGTACTAACTGTATGAGGAAGTTATGAGAAAGTTATGTCTATTCTCTCCGCTATGAGGAAGGCCCATCCAGGCCGAGAACGGGGACTCACCGGAGCGAGAGAGGTATGCCCCCTTATTATCTGCTCACAATATTTGTGTATCACCTACAGAAATAGTCTATGCCCTGGAGAAATTGGAAACGAAGGTGAAGTGGCCGCCAAAGATGAGGTCTGATCCGAGCACCAGAAAATCTGACGCCCTCCGCAAGTTCCACTAGGAGCGCAAACACAAAACAGAAGATTGCATCGCCATCAGGCAAGAAGTCATAAACATGTTGCAGTAGAGACACCTCAAAGAGATGCTAAGTGACAAGGGGAGAAATAACTTCGCCAGAGGATGTGAACACCAAGGAATGCTGAAGCCGCCGTCACAAGCTCGTACTATCAACATGATCATCAGTGGAAACGACGGCGCCTCTATCAACGACGTTAAATTCACCACCACTCACAAACTTAAATGATCTATTACCCACAAACGGTATGACGGACTCGAAGAAAGTATCATCTTCGACGAGTCAGATGCCGACGGTTTGACTTTCCCTCGTAATGATGCTCTCGTCATCACTTTGCGCATTTTAGATACTGATGTCAAATGTATCATGGTAGACGATGGAAGTGGAGCGTGCATTATCCATCCCCGAGTCCTTACCCAGATGTGACTCGAGGACAAGATGTGCCACGCTGCATCACACTATCCGATTTTAATTATGCAGTTGAACGAACATCGGGAGAAATTACACTCCCCATCTTGGCCGGTGGCGTAATGCTGGAGATGATATTCCACATCATGGACCAGGCCACCGCGAACAATGCCATTGTAGGATGACTATGGATACATCCCATGAGAGCCTTTTTCCTCCAGCATATACCAAGTAATCAAATTTCCAATACCTTGGGGGATATCCAGCATATGGGGAGAACAACGCATGTCCCGGGAATGCTATCGCATCGCCTTAGACAATACGACAACCAAACATATAAAAAATAAGGAAAAAGAGGCATAACAATCAACAAGGTCGAGGTCGACATAAGAAGAGACTAGGGACGTCATCATGGATCCCGAAATAGTCAAAGCCGCAAACTCGACTGCAGAGGACCTCTACCCCGTTCAATTAGATCCCAGTGACTGCACCAAAAAAGCCTACATCAGCTGCAAACTTCAAAAAATCAGGCAAATTTAGTCGATTCTTAATAACTAATGCAAATTTGTTTGCCTTCAGGCATGCAGATATGTCGAGCATCCCTAAGGAGATCGCCACATACAAATAAACTTCGATCCGTTCTACCCTCTACCCACCCCCACCCGTCAACGATGATGTCCTCGAGGAGGTGGAGAAACTATTAGAAAATGACTCCATTAGGGAGTCGAAGTACCCTAAATGGATAGCTAACATAGTGATGGTCAAAAAGAAAAATGAAAAATGACGGATGTGCGTAGACTTTACAGACTTGAACAAAGCATGCCCAAAGGATTTATGGAAGAAGAGGACCAGGAGAAAATCACGTTCATCACCTACCGAGGAACATATTGTTAAACGGTCATGACGTTTGGGCTGACGAACGTAGGGGCTACATATCAAAGATTGGTCACAAAAATGTTCAAAGATCAGCTCAGCAAGACCATGGAGGTTTATATTGACGACATACTAGTCAAATCCGTAAAGGCAGAGGACCATATCGACCATTTGAAAGAAGTTTTCGACATACTAAGACAGTACGGAATGAAACTAAACTCGGAGAAATGCGCGTTTGACGTAGCCTATGGAAAGTTCTTGGGATTCTTACTGTCACAACGGGGGATCGAGGTCAACCCAGACCAAATCAAAGCTATCGAAGGGATATTGGAGCTCCTTACTACTAAGAAGCAAGTCCTAAGGTTGACTGGTCAAATCGCCGCCTTATCAAGATTCATCACGCGGTCATCTGACAGATGTCACAAATTTTTTGGCGTACTAAAAAATGATAACACCCTCGAGTGGACACCTGAGTGCATACAAGCTCTACGAGAACTGAAAGTATATCCATCATAACTACCTTTACTCTTAAAGCCCGAACCTGGGGAACATCTCCTTGTCTACCTGGCCGTCTCTGAAGTAGCAGTAAGTGCAGTCCTAATTCGAGAAAGCAAAGGTATGCAATATCCTATTTATTACATTAGCAAAACACTTGTCGATGCCAAGACGAGGTACCCACACCTCGAGAAACTATCCCTGTCACTAGTCATAGCTTCACGAAAACTTAGACCATATTTCCAGTGCCACATATCTCGATCGTTACTGCTTTTCCCCTAAGAGGCATTTTGCATAAATCCGAGCTATCAAGAAGGCTGGCCAAGTGGGCCATCGAGCTAAGCGAGCATTGTCACACCTCCTTTTTCCGGCACCGCGAGGTGGGTAGGGAGTTTTTTCCAATTAAAGGACA